ATTATATATAATATACAATTAATTTTCAAATTAGGTATCAACATTTAATAAAATAAATTTTTAAATTTAGTATTGAAATTTTAGTTTCTAAATATAAGTTAAGATTGTAAATTTTTTTTTAAAATTAAAATTGATATACATTAATTTCATATAATAAATATTAAATAAATATATATAGTATTAGAATGTCCGGGCAGGGCATTTTCTGCCATACAAAACAAATCTTTTACGTGTCATTTGTCAATACTTGGTGGTGTGGTAGAAGGGATTAAAAAGGATCATTTTAAATTTTATAGATTAAAAAAACTTAAATAAATGGACTGAAAAAATTTTTTTTATAGAAGAATTAAATTGAAAACGAGTGTCACCAGTTTAAAATTAAGAGATTGAAAAGGTTACGTGCCCATGGTTATTTTTCAACAACAAATGTCATGTTTTGGTAGTATTAGTAATTATTTTTATTTTTTAATTATAAAAATAAAATAAATTTATAAGTTAAAAATAACTAAAGTTTAATGTTAATAATTTTTATTATATTAAAAGATGAACGGATATTTTTTTAAGTTCTTCCAAGCAACCTGTTGAGTGTGGAAAAAAAACACTTAATGTGTAATGATATCAATTTTTTATTTTTATAAAAAAATTATTATTATTAAATTATTTAAATTATCAATTCAATATTTTTTATAATATGAATGAAAGTAGGCAAAGTTACACCAATGAAGGTTATAATTTTGTAAATAATTTCAAGGGAGGACGAGCCACACATTTAAAAATAAAAGGATCAAAAGAAAGAGAAACAGCAGGGGAGAAGAAATACAATGGATGGGCCAACAACCACTCAACCAAGGAGATATTCCGTTCGTGTGATACCGGGGAACTAATATCAATTTTGCAACACCCAATTAATAAGTCTGTGTGAGAAAATATATGAAACCATATCTTCGGATCCAATCAACTATTAATTTATACTTACTACTATATTTAAATTTGTAAAAATCTTGAACCAGATCTTTAAGTATAGTGATTTGTTCTCATGTCTTAATTTGAAAGTTTAACTCTCATTAATTATTTAAAATAATAAAATAAAATTAGGGTACAACCCATGGACGTGCGTTACGACAAAAGCCTAATCACACCATGCTCGTCTCCTCCACAACCCACAGCCGCCCATGAACGCAACCTCTTTAGCCCCCACTTTCAGGTCTACAATGTGGACCCAATCCTGTCTCTTGCTTTGAGAACTCCACCATATATCATGAACGCAACTACTTATCATGACTTTAACTGTGAAATTGATTCTAGACCAGACCACCATTTTTATTTCAGAATTCAAACGCAAAAAAGAAAAAGTCTAATGTGTAACCAACGCAAACGTCTCTGCAGTTAACATAAACTTATCTATCTACATAAATTGAAATGAAATTAATAAGAGATTAGCTAAATTAATATCAATTAATTTAAAATTTTAGATTTAGAGTATCAATTAATTTAAAAGTCTAAATTTAAAATTAAATTCAAAAGCTCAAATATTTTATGTTAAACAGTTAATTTTTTTATATATAAAAAAATAAATTAACTAATTAACATGGAAGAAGAAAACGTCCCTATCAGAAAAGCGGATAAACACAGCGAAACCCCACTATTCATCGGCTCATTACTTTATTTTGATTCCATAATTATGGATGAGGATTAACTCTAACTTTTTGTTTGTGCTTCTTAATTTGTGAAGCCACAGCTGGTTAGTCATGGTAATGTTCGTGTGGGGAAATTTTTGTTAGACATGAGTAGAGCACAAAATAGAAAAAGAAAGCATTTCAACTTATGTTTAGAGAAAAAAAAAATGTATTGACTAATGTGAACCAGCTGTTGAGGTTGTTATTCACATCCATGAATAGTGCAAATGCACTCGTACCTACCACCTACCCTGTTGAGTGCACATCCTTAACCACAATCAACTCCAACAAGGCAATAACAAATTATAATATATTTAAGGATTTGTCTATTTTGTATTTTTAAAATATAGATAAGAAGCAATAATTAAATAATTATTATTATATTTTTCTTAAAAAATGTAAAATTTTAATTAAAAAATAATTTATATTATTTAATTTAAAATAAACTAATCAAAATTTAACACATGATATTTACAATTTAAATAAAAATCATTTTCATCATTTTTGACTTAAATTCCAAAGGCATTAGATCAAGCATCAGTAGCTGAAGCTTGACCTCTGACAAAAGATAATTCGCGAATTCTATTTCTTCACATGCTTTTGACTATTTCTTTCATTCTCCCAGGAGCTGAAGACCCATGTCTAGGGAGTGTGGACACTAATTCTAATAGAGTTTTCAAGTTTTCATATCTTTTTTTTTTTCTCTCGTTTTCTTTTTTTTTTTTTTTTAACATGAGGTTTTGAATATTGAACCCTATTAATCTTGAGTATGTGTACCTATATACATATAAATGGAGAAAGATTTACTTACAAAAAAAATTTATATAAAATTTTTATTATTTATAATTGAGATTTAATATAATGTTCTAGATTAAAAAATCATTATTTTTAATAAATATAATAATAAATAAATAAATCTCAATTATTAAAAATATAAATATAAATAATTAAGATTTTATATAAATGTGATATATAAAATTTATGTAGAAGTAAAATTTAATTATATACATAAAGATAATGCATATTAATCTTAATTTTTTAAAAAAATTGAAATTCCAACCCTTAAACTAAATGATTTTGTTTAATTAAATTCACCATAGGATTTATGCGATTCATCAAAAACTATGACTAATCCTCAGCAGTGCGTAGCAACAATGACAACCCTTCTACCATTCATCGATTCAAGCCCCTTTTGCGAACACTCATCTCTTGATCAATTCTCTTTTTCCACGACAGGTTGGGCAACAAAACAACTCTTTTTTTACAAGGTCCCTTAAGTGATGAGGACAAAGCACTAACAAAAATTTTTCATGATAATAGACAGTACTATTTAATCCTTTACAAAATAATCTAGCATGAACAATTTAAAATTCATCAAATCAATGTTTCTATCAATTCTGTTCTGTTGTGCTGGTAAGAATTAAATCTCCGAGTTGAAATCTTGAAGGACAAGGGCAAAAGTAGTGATTGAAGTTTAATTAAACAATGACCTTATCATTGAGTTCAAAAAAAAATAAAAAACAATGTCCTTTATCTTTTTTCTTTTTTGAACAAATTGACATGGGGCGGGAGGATGAGATTGGGTGGGTGGATGGACAGATGGTAGAAAAAAGTGGTGACGGGACAAATGGGTAACGAAGGGAAAGGGCCAAAAACCACAACATGGGGGGACAGAAAAGACGGTACCATACTGTAGGCAGCTCTTTTATGCTTGAAAAGATTGTGATTTCAGTAAGGAATCTAATGCGATCTTTCCTAATAAATATCGTATTAGTGCAAATTTAAGATATTTT